GTGTCCCCAAGGCCACCCCCGGTGTCCCCAAGGCCACCCACGGTGTCCCCAAGTGTCCCCAAGGCCACCCTGAGTGTCCCCAACCCCGAGGACACCCCAACCAGGGGGACTTTTGGCGTCCCCAGGACCGGACGAAGCCCCTCGGACGAGGTCTTTGACCCCTGACAATTGTCCCCAAGGCCACTCCTTGTGTCCCCAAGGCCACCCCAATGTCCCCAAGTGTCCCCAAGGCCACCCTGAGCGTCCCCAACCCCGAGGACACCCCAACCAGGGGGGTCTTGGTGTCCCTAGGACCGGACGAAGCCCCTCGGACGAGGCCTTTGACCCCTGACAACTGTCCCCAAGGCCACCCCCGGTGCCCCCAAGGCCACCCCAAGGTCCCCAAGGCCACCCTGAGTGTCCCCAAAACCACCCTGAGTGTCCCCAACCCCGAGGACACCCCAACCAGGGGGACTTTTGGCGTCCCCAGGACCGGACGAAGCCCCTCGGACGAGGCCTTTGACCCCTGACAACTGTCCCCAAGGCCACTCCCAGTGTCCCCAAGGCCACCCCCGGTGTCCCCAAGGCCACCCCCGGTGTCCCCAAGTGTCCCCAAAGCCACCCTGGTGTCCCCAAACCCTCCCTCAATGTCCCCAAGTGTCCCCAACCCCGAGGACACCCCAACCAGGGGGACTTTTGGCGTCCCCAGGACCAGACGAAGCCCCTCGGACGAGGCCTTTGACCCCTGACAATTGTCCCCAAGGCCACTCCCGGTGTCCCCAAGGCCACCCCCAGTGTCCCCAAGTGTCCCCAAGGCCACCCTGAGTGTCCCCAACCCCAAGGACACCCCAACCAGGGGGACTTTTGGTGTCCCCAGAACCGGACGAAGCCCCTCGGACGAGGCCTTTGACCCCCGACAATTGTCCCCAAGGCCACCCCCGGTGTCCCCGAGGCCACCCCGGGGTCCCCAAGCGTCCCCAAAGCCACCCTGGTGTCCCCAAACCCTCCCTCAATGTCCCCAAGCGTCCCCAACCCCGAGGACACCCCAACCAGGGGGACTTTTGGCGTCCCCAGGACCGGACGAAGCCCCTCGGATGAGGCCTTTGACCCCTGACAATTGTCCCCAAGGCCACCCCCGGTGTCCCCAAGTGTCCCCAAGGCCACCCTGAGTGTCCCCAAGGCCACCCCAATGTCCCCAAGTGTCTCCAAAGCCACCCTGAGTGTCCCCAACCCCGAGGACACCCCAACCAGGGGAGTTTTGGTGTCCCCAGGACCGGACGAAGCCCCTCGGACGAAGCCTTTGACCCCTGACAATTGTCCCCAAGGCCACCCCCGGTGTCCCCAAGGCCACCCCAATGTCCCCAAGTGTCTCCAAGGCCACCCTGAGTGTCCCCAACCCCGAGGACACCCCAACCAAGGGGGGTCTTGGTGTCCCCAGGACCGGACGAAGCCCCTCGGACGAAGCCTTTGACCCCTGACAACTGTCCCCAAGGCCACCCCCGGTGTCCCCAAGGCCACCCCCGGTGTCCCCAAGCGTCCCCAAAGCCACCCTGGTGTCCCCAAACCCTCCCTCAATGTCCCCAAGTGTCCCCAACCCCAAGGACACCCCAACCAGGGGGGTCTTGGTGTCCCCAGGACCGGACGAAGCCCCTCGGACGAGGCCTTTGACCCCCGACAACTGTCCCCAAGGCCACCCCCGGTGTCCCCAAGCGTCCCCAAAGCCACCCTGGTGTCCCCAAACCCTCCCTCAATGTCCCCAAGTGTCCCCAACCCCAAGGACACCCNTCCCCAATGTCCCTGGATGTCCCCAACCCCCCCAATGGTCCCCAATGTCCCTGGATGTCCCCAAATGTCCCCACCGGTGTCGGGTGTCCAGACGAGCCTGACGGCCAGGAAGTCCTGCAGCTCGTTGCGCAGGGTGTAGGTGACGGTGAAGCGGCGCCGCGCCGGCACCGGCGACTCGCACGTGGCCGTCATCACGAAACGGGGACGCTCCAGCCGGATGCTGGGCAGCCTGGGGGACATTGGGGGCGTTGGGGACATCGTGGGGACGTTGGGGACATCGTGGGGACATCGTGGGGGCATCGTGGTGGCACCACCGGGGAGCCCCAGGGGAGCTGGTGAAGGTGGTGACATGGGGACAGTGATGGCACAGTGATGGCACAGTGACATGGTGGCACCTCCAAGACAGCCAGGAGGGTCTGGGGACATTGGGGACATCGTAAGGACATTGGGGACATCATGGACATCATGGGGACATTGGGGACATCATGGGGACATTGTGGTGGCATCGTGGTGGCACCACCAGGGAGCCCCAGGGGAGCTACACAATGACTTGGGGAGGGGGTGACATTGGGGACAGTGACGTGGTGGCACCTCCAGGGGCGGCTCTGGGCAGCCAGGAGGGTCTGGGGACGTCGGGGACATCGTGGGGACATTGAGGACATCATGGGGACATCGTGGGGACATCGTGGTGGCATCGTGGTGGCACCACCGGGGAGCCCTGTCTGAGCCCTGGAGAGCCCTGGGGAGGGGGTGACATGAGGACAGTGATGGCACAGTGATGGCACAGTGACGTGGTGGCACCTCCAGGGGTGGCTCTGGGCAGCCAGGAGGGTCTGGGGACATCGGGGACATCGTGGGGACATCGGGGACATCGTGGGGACATCGTGGTGGCATCGTGGTGGCACCACCAGGGAGCCCCAGGGCAGCTACACAATGACCTGAGGAGGTGGTGACAAGGTGACAATGACATGACGAGGACGTGCCAGGGAGGTGACAGCGGTGCCACGGCTCAGAGGTGACCCTGGGGACATTTGGGGACACTTGGGGACATCTGGGGACATTTGGGGACATTGGGGCCACTCACCTGTAGTGGGTGTAGATGCTGCTGGTGAAGGGCAGCTTCGGCGTCGACCACTGCACCACGGCCACCAAGGGCACCTCCAGGCCCTGGGGAGGGGACAGCGGGGACACAGGTGCCACCCCCGGGGTCCCCGAGGCCACCCCGGGGTCCCCAAGTGTCCCCAAGGCCACCCCGGGGTCCCCAAGTGTCCCCAAACCCACCCTGAGTGTCCCCAACCCCAAGGACACCCCAACCGGGGGGGTGTCTTGGTGTCCCCAGGACCCCTGGCTGAGGGTGGTGGCCCCTGACAATTGTCCCCAAGGCCACCCCTGGTGTCCCCAATGTCCCCAAGTGTCCCCAAGTGTCCCCAAAGCCACCCTGAGTGTCCCCAAAGCCACCCTGAGTGTCCCCAACCCCGAGGACACCCCAACCAGGGGGACTTTTGGTGTCCCCAGGACCGGACGAAGCCCCTCGGACGAAGCCTTTGACCCCCGACAACTGTCCCCAAGGCCACCCCCGGTGTCCCCAAGGCCACCCCAATGTCCCCAAGTGTCTCCAAAGCCACCCTGAGTGTCCCCAACCCCGAGGACACCCCAACCAGGGGGGGTCTTGGTGTCCCCAGGACCGAACGAAGCCCCTCGGACGAGGCCTTTGACCCCTGACAATTGTCCCCAAGGCCACCCCCGGTGTCCCCAAGGCCACCCCCGGTGTCCCCAAGCGTCCCCAAGGCCACCCTGGTGTCCCCAAACCCTCCCTCAATGTCCCCAAGTGTCCCCAACCCCAAGGACACCCCAACCGGGGGGGGGGTCTTGGTGTCCCCAGGACCGGACGAAGCCCCTCGGACGAGGCCTTTGACCCCCGACAACTGTCCCCAAGGCCACCCCCGGTGTCCCCAAGGCCACCCCCGGTGTCCCCAAGCGTCCCCTCACCTCCTTGGCGTCCTCGGGGGGCCTCTCGGGGGCCTGGAGCTGGAAGAGGAAGTTGTGCTCCTCCAGGGCACTGAGGGCACAGGGACAGCCCGCGCCCGCCCCGGACACGCGGCAGAACGCGCCCACGGGCACCTCCCCGGAGTGGTGGCTGTCAGGGGACAGGGGGACACCTCAGGGACACCCCAAGGTCACCACACTGTCCCCAAGGTCACCACACTGTCCCCAAGGTCAC